TTATGAAAGATCTGAAAATGTTTTATGAGTTTTCTGAGTTTTTGAAGTTTTCCGAGTTCTGAGTTTTTTGAAGTACCGAGTTTATGAGTTTTTGAAGTATTGAGTTATGATGTTATGTTGCTGTTTATCGATCCTGATGGTCACACGTGAATGTATGACCAGAGGGGGGAATGTGAGATTTCATAACACTTTGAAGCAATTTTTGTTAAAGTTAAACTCATCATTCTATCAATGTGCAGAAGCCAGTACTTTTCCCTTGTTTTGTCTATCTGAAGGCCAAGCTACAAGCACACCGTGGAAGCTGCTGATTGGAGGTCTCCATGCCTCCGCTCTGTATAATACACTTGCATTCTATTGTTTCTGTGATCGTGTGCTGTGATCGTGCTGTCTCTACCATTGACAATAAAACATGTCTTCTGTCTGAATGAAAGACGCGATCCCAGACTTTGTCATCTTCTTCAAACTGAAAGCAGCCAAGTCCCGGCACAGAGAACGACTACAGGAGCAGTTTGGTAACAACGATACTGCTTCTGTCTGGAGGGGCCTACGGGAGATCACCAACTACAAACCCAAAGCCCCCCCCTGTGCTGACGACCACAAGCTAGCTGACGAACTGAACTTATTTTTCAGTCGCTTTGATGCTGCCCCTGACACCTCTCCCTCCCCCACCCCCCACTACTCTAACGACCCACCCATCAGCCCTGCCCCCAGCCTAACAATAGCCGCTAAAGAGATTAAACAACTCTTCTTGAGGCTGCACCCCCGCAAAGCTCCTGGCCCGGACCACGTGTCTCCGGCCACTCTGAGACACTGCGCCAGTGAGCTTACTCCTGTGTTCACTGACATTTTCAACACCTCTCTGCAGTCCTGCCATGTCCCGGCCTGCTTCAAATCCTCCATCATTGTCCCCGTCCCGAAGAAGCCCAGGATCACAGGACTCAATGACTACAGACCTGTAGCACTTACGTCTGTCGTCATGAAGTCATTTGAACGCCTGGTTCTCTCCCATCTCAAGTCCCTCACCTCCCCCCTCCTGGACCCCCTGCAGTTCGCCTACAGAGCCAACAGATCTGTAGACGACGCCATTAACCTGGCCCTCCACCACATCCTACAGCACCTGGACTCCTCGGGGACCTACGCCAGGGTCCTGTTCGTGGACTTCAGCTCTGCCTTCAACACAATCCTGCCATCCCTGCTCCAGGACAAGCTCTCCCAGCTCAACGTGCCCGATTCCACCTGCAGGTGGATCACTGACTTCCTGACGGACAGGAAGCAGCGAGTGCGTCTGGGGAAGAATGTCTCGGACTCTCGGATTATAAATACAGGAGCCCCACAGGGCTGTGTTCTTTCTCCCCTGCTCTTCTCCCTGTACACCAACCACTGCACCTCCAGCCACGACTCCGTGAAGCTGATCAAGTTCGCGACGACACCACCCTCATTGGACTCATCTCCAACAACGATGAGTCCGCCTACAGGAGGGAGGTGGACCGGCTGGTGTCCTGGTGCAGTGGTAACAACCTGGAGCTGAACGCCCAGAAGACAGTGGAGATGATTGTGGACTTCAGGAAGAGCACTGTCCCCCCGCCCCCACCCTCCGTGATGGACTCCCCCATCACCTCTGTGGAGTCCTTCCGTTTCCTGGGCACCACCATCACCCAGGACCTCAAGTGGGAGCCGACCATCAGCTCCCTCATCAAGAAGGCCCAGCAGAGGATGTACTTCCTGCGGCAGCTCAGGAAAGCCAAGCTGCCTGCACAGATGTTGGTGCAGTTCTACACGGCCATCATCGAGTCCATCCTCACCTCCTCCGTCACCGTGTGGTTCGCTGGAGCCACAGTCAGGGACAAACAGAGACTACAGCGCATTGTGCGCTCTGCAGAGGAAGTGATCGGCCGCAGCCTTCCATCGCTGCAGGACCTGTACGTCGCCCGAGCTCGAGGCCGGGCTGGTTGTATCACAGCCGACCCCTCTCACCCTGCACATGGACTATTCCAACCACTCCCCTCAGGCAGGAGGCTGCGGTCCATCAGGACTAGAACCTCCCGCCACAAGAACAGTTTCTTCCCCTCTGCTGTTGGACTCTTGAACACTTCTTAACCTGTCCCCCCGCCCTTTATAAAGTCACTTCACTGCCCATCATACGTCACTTTACTTCACTGTACTGCTGTCACCTTACATTGTGTGCACCATGTGCACTTGTATATTGTAAATAGTAACTGTAACTCTATTTTAAATTTAAATTTATTCTTTAGAAGTGTTTTTTATTCTTATTTTTATTATCTCTTTTTGACTGTTGCACTGAGCCAAAGCAATTTCCTAGTCTGTGACCTCCTGTTACTTACGTGGCAATAAAAATGATTCTGATTCTGACATCCCAGGAACGGTTAAAAATGTATCCCGATCGTGCCAGACTGATAATAACCTGAAAAGGTTACTTTTGGGGAGAAATAGTAATTAAACTAATTAAGTTTGTTTAAGTAACCTGACCAACACTGCCAATCACATGCTAATGTGGGTTAAATGTTGTGCAACGTGGTTGATCGTTTTGTCTATTTTATAAAACCTATTCCTTGTGCTGTCCTCAGGTCAAATTGACCTGCTAAAGTGATTTAAAAAATATTGTTTTCAAAGCTGAATTTTGATGCCTTTTCCAAACTTGACCGACCTCGGCTAATTTAGAACCTTTTAAACCCTAGCTTGTCATCGCCTAGAAGGAGCCATAGATCAGAGAGACCCAAACGGATAGTGAGGAATATATTAATACGTTCACAAATTAAATGTACTGTACGTTTGTAAAGGAACAGCTAATAAATGTTTACGTTATAAATCCTGTTATGTTTGTACAACAGTTTAATTAATAGCCTATATTTCAAACGTGAAAATAGAATTACGTTTTCTGTAAGTATTCACAAGGTTTTCACGCATTGTTGCAAGTATTTTGGCCCATTCCTCCATGCAGATCTCCTCTAGAGCAGTGATGTTTTTGGGGCTATTGCTGGGCAACATGGACTTTCAACTCGCTCCAAAAGATTTGAGGGAAATGCTTGTTTGAGCATTTCCCTTTCGTTTGACCGGAGTAGGCAGCGGAGTTTTAGATTGTAAATCCGTGTCTTGTAAATCCAAAGTAGTCCCAAATTCCAGAGGTAAAGAGGAGACAAGTCTTTTGGGGACAAGTTCCTCTGTGCATTTTTGGTGTCTTAACTGCTGATTTTCTGATCTGTGTTGACAATTTCAACGGTTTTGTTAAGTCCTCTGAGATGATAACTGTTGTGATTTAGGGCTATAAAAGAATACATTGAATTGGAATTGAACTGAATATGTCCCTTCATCATCCACCATGCTTGTTTTGTTTCTTTGCATGCTCCACTCTAGCGTGTGGCAGCACTAGGTTGCAGATGCGTCAAAGTGCGCGTACAAGAAATGCATTCATAAATATTTCAACATTATCGTGGACCTTTTAGATCCGCACCTACCAATATCGCGATTACAATATTTTTCCGATATATTATGCAGTTGAAATTATCTTTGGCAAAAACACTGGTGCTGTTGCGGGTTTACTTACATCATTTGCATATTCTTACACAAAATAAATGTACTGATTAAAGTATGTAAAATGAAATATTTACAAAACATTTAATTTAATCAACAGCAGTATTACAAGCTCTGTAAAATAAAGTCTGGTATAAACGTCAGTATATAGGCTACTAATTACAGCAATAATGGCCTAATCAGGACAACTGAACAAATATAAAGTCAACCCATCCGATATCTGCACCTAAATCCTATACAAGAATAGTATCAGTGCATCACCACATACTGTGCTTTTACACAAGACAGAGAGCACACAACATGTACAGAGAAAATATGCAGCAAATGCTTCGTTATACGTATAAAAAGTATTCCTATACATATATAATACAAGTAAATGTAAAACCACTAGATATGGCCGAAGTCGAGTAGATAAAAATACGCAACAAACTTTTTCATTGACTCATTGGGATAGCCAAACACTCATACGAACTGAAGTCAAATTACAGAATAAAATGGTAAGATTATGCACCGTGTTCTGCGTGCGTACAGGATTTGGCCTCATGTGCAACACTTCCCTGCATACTGTCAATAAATGACAAAGTGCAGTTTGGATGTTGATTAGCTTAGCTGCTAGTCAAACTGAGTATCAAATCTATATGTCCGATTTTTCATTTCACTTTCACTATACAATAGAAGTACATAACCGTATGTAAATAGCAGTGTTTCTATATAATTGAATAACATGATTACACAGTGTGAAAGCATCAATTCAATAGTACTATAAAAGCATGACGAAATGACGTCCGCGCTGGACAGTTAGCTGCTAACGCTACCAGGGCGAGCTGCATGGCGCACCAACTCAAACTCTTTAGGGCTCGAAATATCAACATAACTACAACTCAGGCTGTTTTAGACTATTACTTGTTCACATGCTCACGACAGCTGGGTTTAACAAATCATATGGCAGGTTGAACAATATCCAAAACATGTTGTACATTTTTGACAATTCATTAAGTTGAAAGTAACAATAATGGGCATTTGGTGAGGTGAAACAAGGACATGTTACCATATCGTCTTTTATTGTCACTCATGAGTCATGGGGCAAGTTATATTGTTTTTAATGCATTCAACACAACCAAATATGTAACTAATAATATAAAGTGTCCAAGCATTATTCTCGTGAGAATTAGTCTCGAGTGTACACAGTTGCTAGCTGTAGGGTGGTTGTACTGGGAATTTTGTATTAATTGATATTTGTCCTTAAACGGTCAGAAGGTTTCAATAGTTTACATTATGAAGCAAAAACAATTATAAAACTTAAAATAGAATACAGACATACTTATATTTACAGAATTTGTAAGCTTTTAAGCTTCCATCAGACAGCTAACTACGTGACATTGTTTAGGACACCACATTTAGGACTTGTACACTCAATAAGACCAGGTCAAGTGATCCACAGTGTTTCATACCTTTAACAACAAGGCCTTCGTTCTGGCGCCATCTTCTTGAAGCCTGTGAAATCCAAACAGTGAACTGCAAGCAAAAGACAGACAACACAGGCGGTTCCGTATTACTTTGGGGTTCTCGTGTTTGTAGTTCGATGCCATGATATAAAATCCAACTAAACACTCTAAACATATGTTATAGTATTTACAACATAGCTTTTCAAACCTGTCAATATCAGCCAAAGTGTCTTTGTCTTGCAGCGTTAGCTTTGGAAAGTCCTCTTCGATTTCAGTCGCTTTTCCCGACGCCATTTTCTCCTCGTCATTACCAGTAACACCAAGGCTCTGAGCAGCAACAGAGGCAGCGGAGCTGAGCGACACTCCGCACGATTTCATGTTGATGAAATGGAAAGATCGAGGGAATCAAGCGACTCCAGCGAGATGTACAAAGAACGCGGCTGCACACCTTCTCCAGGGCTAAATGGGGCGTAGCGTAATTCTTGCCAAATCCTCAAGGAAAAGATCCCTTCAAGTTGCCTTCCACCCTCATTCTCATTAAGCAAGCGCGCATATTCCAATGCGCCAGTGTGTGCATGGAGTTGTTGTTGTGTTGAGTTTAACCATTGAGTCCCTTTTTCATAATATGTCTTAACTTCCCCAACCCTTGGCTCAAAGTTGTTGTAATTGTGTCACAGGCAAACGCACGCCGCCAGCTCCGTCACGCCCATAGACACGCCCTCTTTTACACTGACCAATAGGTTGTCGCGATAGGTTGTCACGTGACTGATTGTCCCGAGCATGCGCACGTGCACGTGCGTGAAGAGATCCCGCCTTCTCTGCTCAGTTATTTGACAAAACCGCGAAACAAAGCTTCTGAGTGGCCAAGGCAGCTGTCATGTGTACTTATGTTATGATAACAAAGCTTAGACTTTTATTAGAAACTATATTTTGATTGTTCTATATGCCTCATTTTATAGTTAAAATTCCTATTTGCAATTTGCAATTACCATTATTGCAACAACAAAAATGCTGTAAGTTATACAACTAAATCGTTACAGAAAAACGATTAAAATCGTGTATAAATTATAACATTATTCGCTGGAGGAATGTTTAATTAGTTATTATTTGCGATTGGTGGCATTTCTAGACATGCTCCAAACATGTAACGTTAACGTTATGCAAATGAGGTAGGCTGGCAGCTAAGGACAAGGGCTGGCTCCAAAATGGCGAACCGTGACAAGGGTAAGTAGGCCTCAGAACCTCTAAAGAATGCGAGATAACCTTTCTTTAAGTTAATTTTCATGGGTGAATAATCGTTTTTGACAATGATTACCAAATCGTTCATTGCACTTAGCTTATGTTCTAAGCTAGCCTCACGGATGTCCACAACGCTCTACTACGCTGAAGTTGTAACTAAGGGTGCTAACTTTCTTGAGGACAAATCAACTTTAATGCCACATGTATTTGTTTACATACCTAATTATTATTATGACAGGTATAGTAAGGGACTGCACCGTGGCATTGCTAGTTTAAGTATTTCTTTTTTTATGTGTATTTTATTAATGCATAAAAGAGAGTGGCATCATGCCTTCACGCTCGTGTGGGTGTTCTTTCCCCACAGACCTAGAAGATGAGATATACGACAAGGTCGTGGACCTGACTGAGTATGCCAAACGCCAGAGATGGTGGAACAGAGTTTTTGGAAACAGTTCTGGACCAGTAGCTGAGAAGTACTCTGTGGCTACACAGATAGCCATTGGTGGAGTTAGTGGATGGTAACTATAACCCCTTTTAATTCTATGTTGTATTCAATTACCCTGATGGACTGTTTGTTTGTTGGAAAGGAATCTATCATGTTCAGATTGTTACATTATATTTCTTTCATAAAATTATAGAAGAAATAACTTCACCATATGGTGTACCTGCTGAATATCCATCAAAGACTGGAACTTACGTTCACGTCAAAATCTTTCATTTAAAATGGAAGATTATGTGCTGTATCTCATGGCTGCACCCTCAAAGATGTAAACGTCACTTCCCATCTCATGTAGGTGTACAGGGTACTTGTTCCAGAAGGTTGGGAAGTTAGCTGCAACTGCTGTTGGTGGTGGTCTTCTGATGTTACAGGTACTCATTGCAGTATTTGACACTTGACTTTGTTTATTATTTTCATTATGCACATATTTCTCTTGTTTAGATTGCAAATAATAGTGGATATATTCAAGTGGATTGGAAGAGAGTAGAAAAAGATGTCAATAAAGCTAAGAAGCAACTGAAGAAAGGCACCCATCAAGCATCAACAGAAATGGATACAGTTTTTCAAAAGGTAAAAATATAGTGTTAATGTACTATATCTTGCATATCACAAAATATTATTAAACATCTTTTGTTTTTGATATTGGCATAATATTATTTCACTGTTTTACAGTCCACTGAGTTCGTCAAGAAGAACATCGTCGTCACAAGCAGCTTTGTTGGAGGTTTCCTGCTTGGAATGGCATCTTAGAAATCTATTAAAAACAAAATGCCATATCGCTTTTATGTATTTAGCACTGGCAAGTAATACAACCTAATGACTGTATGCATTTCTGCTATATAGTTTGTCTTTCCTTTTGTACCTCTATGAAATATGAGGCAATTTTTGTACTGGTCAGACCAGTTAGTTTGATATAAGACTTTTTTTTTTTTTTTTACATAATGTCACTATTGTTTATTTCTGTCACATATAATTTGGAGAAAGATAAAAAAAATACCCTCACTATATTATTTATTTATTTTGATAAAGAAAAATCTCGTGAAATAAATCAAGTTCAAACTATGCATCCAAGTGTAAATAATGCAACAACAAAAAACTCCTGTCAATCATCGTGATGTTTCTTCAAAAGCCAAAGTATGTCCTATGCTGCCTTAAGACCATTATTCATCTATTTTATGCATGACTTTCTTTAACTTTGGCAGCTGTGCTGCTCTGTGTTCAATGAAAATAAAGTTATGAAAGCAACTCATCCTCTTGTGTTATCAAGATTTTTAAGTCGCATACAGGTAATATAGTAAGACAGTAGATGGCGATGTTGCACCGTCTTATTGCTGTTGCCTGGATACGGACCTAAACAATTTACGTTTCCAAGGTAACTTGCTTGTTCTTCCCTGGTTTAAGAAGTTTAATCTATTAACGTTATGGCTTCATTACCGAAGTTTCCAAACAAATACGTAAGTACCTTTGTGGTCTTTACCATTGAGTAGTAAATAAATTAGTTATTGCAAAATGATGCAGTTCATCATCCAATGGTTATTCTCCCGTTATCCACGAGTTTACGTCACGCTGTAAACGTTAATTACCTGTGCTAGCGAAACTACTTTACCAATGTCTGTTCCAGTTGCACAATGCTCGCTTTCAAATGACTTCCGAGTTCCTGAAATCTAATGTAAACGGTCATGTTACATCGAAATTTAGCCATTCTTACGGTGTTTCAGAAGGGTTAATGCTAGCTAGGTTAAATGTTTCGGATCAAATACCTTGCTATGCTAGCGCCGAGAAAATCACTTAGGAACCGTCAACTAATGGCAATACTTAGCTAATTCACCGAGTTTCACATTCTAATGTGTAGTAGGTTAATTTAAACCTATATTATTTATGGACTAAGTTAAAGGTTTGAGTAACTGGCATGACGAAATTATAAAATAATTTAGATATTTATGGAATAAGCAATAATCAAATAGGCCTTTACTTTCCCCTATGCGGACAATAACTAAGAGCTTTATGGAGAAAAAAACATAGTAAAATATTACTAATCAATTGAGCTTTTTGCCTATCAGCAGGGTCAGATTGTCGAGGTTGGGGATTTACTTTATAATTCATTCCAGTGAAGTGGTGACATGCTAATGAGGAATGTATATATGTACTTTTTTCTTTTTTACATAGCTGGGAAGAGAGAACTTTCACAAGTCACACCACTTTGATATTTCAAATGAAGTGGCTATGTTCGTTGGAGGCGAGAAACCAGGTATTGGAGGAGAGCAATTATCTGATCAGAAGACAACATCCAAGTATTCAGTTTACCCCAAAGGAAGTGGAAGTGACTTACCGTCATGGGTCGCATTTGATAAACAGGTGAACTGTAACTGCACTATAGTATCATCATACACAAACTTGTATGTGATGCATAGACACAAGATTATTTATTTGTTGCTTTGTTGTAGGTGTTGTGTTTTGATGCTTATTTTGAAGAAACTGTGCCTCTTGTTAATGAGGAGAGAATCAGAAAGTGTAAGATCATGTTCTACCTGGAGGATGATACTATCAAAGTTGTGGAGCCGGAGTTTAAGAACAGCGGTATTTCCCAAGGTATTTCGTTTTTATAGATCCCATACCAGCTTGGTGCTTTTTATTGCTGACGACTTGAGTTTTGAGAAGCGATAACATTATGTACAATAGAACATGTAATCAGAATACTCGTTTCTGTTACATTTCCCTTTTGATGCTTATATTTTTATTTACTTTAAAAAATATATATATATGTATTGCAATTTGTAATGATAACAAAAAAAATAAACCTCTAATGGTTTTACTGTATTTGTATGCTACCCTACAGAAGGTATTGAAAATACAGCTCTGATTTGACCATTTATTAAAAAAAATATTTCTGTCAAGTTTTCAACAACAAAAAACTTCCCATCACTGAATTAATACTTTTGTTGTTATTTCAGGGATACTAATTCGACGTCACCGTGTCCCTCTTCCACCACCAAACGATGGCCAGTTCTACAACATCTTTCATTTCAATATTAACCAAGAGATAGTCCTATATTCTCGGAAGTTTACAATAACCAATTGTGATACTTTCACAAGAAATTTCATCACAAATCTTGGAGTGCGTCTAAATGAACCCACAACTTTGCCTGTTGATCCATATAGTCAGCTCAGGGAAGACGTAAGCATGTCAAGACGCTTAGAAACAAGTTATGAAATGTGTACTTAAACTACAGTTCTGCTTATTCTCACAGATGGAGAAAAACATGAAACCACTTAGACCCTATGAAAGAAAAAACACTCTGAAGCAGTTCTTTGACAACGATAATAAAGTTTTGCGCTTCTATTGCTACTGGGATGGCAGAGAGAGCCCTTTTGGTGATGTTAGAGAATGGATCCTACATTATTTCCTTGTCGATGACACTATCGAGATCCTTGAGGTCTTTACCCCTAATAGTGGTCAAGATCATGTACCCAAGTTTCTGAGGCGTGGGAAACTTCCAAAGGTGAGACAGTGACGCATGAGTATTGGTCAATACATCAGTTGTACACCACCCAGTGCATAATGTCAATATTTCAACACAAAGCATACAATTTCATTTGTTTTGGATCCCCTAGTCTTCCTGGTATTCTCACAAAACACCATTTTCCATCACATACCAAAGTGCATGTTGAAATACATTTCTTTGCTGCAATTTTGTCTTTGCATTTCATCAACTGGCAAAAAAAAAAATATTCTGTATCAGTACTAAAAACCCAATGCTATAGCGTTACATACTAATAAACACAAGCATTATTGATTATTCATTTTTTTCTTTTCCTCAGACCCCAAGTCAACTGCCGCCACCTGGTGCAGTGACTGACCGCACTGTCCTTAATGTATTTAATTCATCAAACCAGGGTCCACGCTATATTCTGGACAATCTCAAGGTGTGCCTTATCATTTTTTGTTCGCAAAAATAACTTTATTATTACTTGTTGTATTGTGAAAATATATATTATTTTCCATGTTAACCACATTATTTTCTTTGAAATTATGTATACGTTGTTATTGTACTTGAACATATATTTATTTCCCTCTTACTGCAGACAGGAGCCATCAACGAAAACTTCTACAAAGATTGTGACCTCAGGATTGGGACAGAGCTGAATGTGTGGGGCAGAAGAGTCATTATCACTGACTGTGACGACTTCACAAAGAACTACTACAGCTGCAAATACGCCATAGGTATATCTGTAGTTTTCTTTTTACATCATGGCAGTTTTTAATATCACTAGCATCGTCAAAGTGGGCCATGTTCTTTTACAGCAAAGTACTATTACAGGGGCTGGGTTTCATTCCTGGTGATTCTCTGTCCCTTTTTCTTGTATTCATAAAAACATGCACCATTACTGAAAGGTGGCGTTGTCGCTCCATTAATCTTATTTGAAAACTTTCTTTTAAAACTGCTTTCCTCCTTTGTCTCCTACATGCAAAGATATATCCTAATCATTTGTTTGTTGTATTTTGTCATTTGATGAAGCAGAAAAGTGAAGAGTCTTCAGCTCATCATTAGTCAAGTGGCTCCTGTCCCCGTGTGATGTAGGGCTGTGTGTGTAGTAGCTGGGGTTACCATGGGTTACCTTAAGTAACTGTGAGCTGCTGTTCGTTGCTCTTTCGACAAATGGATTAGCTTTTGCCCTTCTGATTACACCCACCCTCTGGGTTTCTGTGGTTTTGTCTTGTTTTCTCAGAGGACTTCACCCCTGTGCAGTATAAAGTCCCTGCTGCTCCTAAGCCCCCCAGACACGTTCCCCCCTACAATGGCTTTGGATCAGAGGAAGACTCATTGAGCTCCTGCCAGGGAGTGCTGCCCAAGCCCCCGCGAAAAGACCTCCTGAAATGTATGGAAAAAGACAGGTGAGATTGACAAAATGCTCAATTTAATTCAGTTTGAAAAAGATCTATTATTCTAAGTGTATTTCTTTTTATTGTGCCATGACATACTTTCAAGTCTCAACCGCTGCATTGGTGGAGGAACAGTGCCGTTTGCAGTTTAACAATATAGTTTTTCCATCACCAATAGATGGCGAATGTGAAACCATTGCATAGTTTGTGACATGGCCAAGCCTGTGTGCATATTCTCACACAGTAGATCCAGTGATATGTAAGAAATTATGAGGCTGGATTTTCCATTTACAATTATAAATATTTGCTTTATGATATAATTCAGCATGTAAATAATAGATGAAGGAATTATGTTGAGATAACGAGTCAAAAAATTAATACATGGATTCAAGTGAGCGACTTCAGTCTGATAGCAAATCCTTTTTCAAAGTAATTCAGAACACCAGGTGGCACATATTCTAACATACACATTGTGTACCACCGTATGGTTTACATTGTGTTTCTGAGTCTGCAGCACACATTAATTGTTGCAATAACAGAGAAACATTATATATTACTGAATGTGAAAATGAGATCAAGGCAAAAATAACACATTATATTCTTTATAATTGTAACATTAATAGACTGTGCTAAGGAATGACAGAGAAGGCTATTCAATAATTGTATATTTATAGACCACCATAGCCACGTTTAGTAGAGCTGGGGTACCTAACTTCGAAGAAAGTACATCTATCTCCTCCTAACGGTGAAAAACATTGCTGTCTGTCACTAGTTTTCAAGTTGTGTGTATAAGCTGACCTCATGAAAGGTGAAAAAGAAGGGACCAAAATTGTTCAGCTCAAAGTATCAAATGGCTCACAGAGATCTTTCTTGCAAGTTTGCAATAGTTCAACGTTTTCAATCAGATGAAACATTTTCAAAAAAATTCTTTATGAAACAATGAAGTGTACTACTCCAGGTTTAAATATCCATTGGTTTCAGAATGGAGTGTGTTTATTACCTTAGAGATCAAAACTTGAATGGGACGGAGCTGAGATGCTGTGTTTTGTCCACAGATTTGGTCTTGAGAGTAATGTGTTCAACTTTGTGGCCAAGATGATGACTGATGATCCAGTGGACAAGGACCGGCTGTTTATCATCTCTTTGTACCTCAGTGATGACACCATCAGTGTGTTTGAGAGAGCCAAGCCAAATTCAGGTAGATTTTGATGGTACTACATTTGCAGCTTTAGTGTAGTGTTCACAGTTGATAGTGTTCATATAAATGTTCTCTTTTTGTCACACAAATATCACACAAAATTCATAATTAATATATATATAAATCAAATATAATGATTACTACTACCACTATTTAGAGTGTTTTTGTCAGCTTTGCTTAAGTAGTATCGGGTACTACAATACTGGAACCTGCTTTTCTCTGAAGTGTAAGGAAAGACTAGTAACTGTGGAAACAGGACTCTTATGGAGATTCAATTATTGGACATGCGAGAGTGAATCTATAATCTATATTCCTCTTTGCCTTTTCTCTTTCTTTCAAAATATGACATTTATTTATTTAACCTTTGGGTCCTGTAGGTGTGCTTGGTGGTAAGTTTCTGGGGCGTACCCGTGTGAAGAAGCCGGGGCAGGAGGTGTTCAAGAGTGAATTGTCAAAGTATTTCACAGCTCAGGACTTTTTTGTCGGAGCTGTACTTCATATCAACCACATCAACTTTAAGCTCATTAATGCTGATGAATATACTTTGAACTACATGGAGAAACATCCAGAAGAGGTTTGGATCATGTTTATGATTTCTACTAAGAACGTTCTCTATATAAAATGTATTTTTTGCATTTGCTCCCAAGTTTGCCAAAGCCAACGTGGGTAATATCCTGAGTAAACTACGTTCAGTTCCTGATGACAAACATAAAGAGGTTAAGACATTTCTGGCTCTCAGTGATCCCAGCAACTCCGGATTCATACATTATGATTCACTCAGGTGTGTATGTGTTCACATGTGTACAAGTGGCAAGTTTCATACAAAACGCTATCCAGACAAAGTACAGAATATTTTCAACAATAAATAATTTTCTGGTATTGACACGTGTCACAACCATGTTTGACCTTCTCCATGGAGACAAATAGAATATAAAAAATTAAAAAAATTTATGGAAAGCAGAAGAGGGGCGTATGGAAATGTAGTCCGACTACAATAAAAATAATAAAATAAATAAATGTCTTTTGTTTATGCATTGTGCTCATATGCCACAGGGGGATGCTGATGGGCTTGGACTATGGCCTGTCGGAGCATGAGGTGCTGGTTCTGGCCCGCAGCTTCTCTGAGCACGAGCAGTCAGGGCTGGACCTGAGCTTGATGCTGGCGGTGGCCCAGGACTTCCTTAGGAAGAAGCACTTTGAAGAATTCCCTGAAATGACCAAAGCCTTTGCACACCACGACAGACATAAGTAAATGCACACGCACTCACATAGGCTGAAATCGCAGTCATCATTTGCAGACAACATTTTGATGCCAGAGAAACACAGGCATAAAAACACACTCTGGAGCACACCGTCACAACATGACATCAGTCGTTCAGCCAGTGGCCCCATATCTCAAAGCTGCGATTAGTTCCAGCAGCGTGAGCGCAGCATTAGAACCAGATGCACCCTGAAGACCTGAATGGCCTGCGCTTCTGCTAAACTCACACATTTTGGTCATAAAAACATACTTTGGGCAGCTGAGTGGTTAACACTCTTGATTCTTTGTTCGAATCCTGGTTGGCACGGGCTGTTCTGAGTGGAGTTTGCATGTTCTACTCATTTCTGCTTAGGCTTCCCCTATAATTAAGCATTTACAAAAGGCTCTCTGAAGGGACTCTAAAATCTCAGTGGGACTATCCTGGGAAATAAAGGTCAAACTTTGACTTTTGCCATGTACAAGCCAAGCATGTGTGTGTAGAATTCATCCCCAGGGTGGTTTACCCTCTATGAAGCCTGATGATGCCAGCGGTCAGACTGTCCTGCTGGTGCAAATGGCTCTGTTAACACATAATTAGCTCCAGATTATTTGTCAATAACTGTGGAATGAAAGTGGAACAACAGGTTCATGAAGCTTTATGTTCATGGTCTCATTTACCATCATGTTGTTATCAAATAAATGCAACTTGACATTTGTAATAAATGATCTGTTTCATGCCTAAAATCTTATCTCACCACGTACGTCTGACATGTCAGCACTAACAGCTTTCCTTTGTGCAGAACTGGACATCTTTCCTTGAAAGAGACCAGGACCATCTGTAAGGCCTTTCGTCTTCCTCTGCCTGAGAATCTGCTCACATCCCTGCTTGAAAAGTATGTAGCACAATCCACTTTATACTATGAGATAATTAGAAGCAAACAAATGACATGTAAGAAGTAGAACTATTTCTGTAATAATTATTAAGTATTAATCAACTCTTTGCCAGTGTTGTGTCAAATAAATTGTACATGTTAAAATACCTGTTTCGATCTCCAGGTTTGCGCAAGACGATAAAATTGAATACCAGGCTTACATTGCAGCTTTAAACTGGCTTGAACATCCTGCCGCTCCTGTAATGCCTGACGACATTTTAAAGGTAAAAAAAGTAATTGTTCTGTGGTTTAAACTCGCAAATCATATAAGTAAATCAGAAAGTGATTAAATATAGACTTAAATGAATGAAAAATCACTTACTATATTGTAAACCTTGGTAATACTCTCCGCCTAAAAGAAGCATTCAATAAAGAAGAAGGGGAAGTACTGTTCACCTTCTATATATTACTGATTTAACACGCTGCACGCCACATTCACGTCTGAGCAGGAACAGGTGAACAATTGAGATATGCTCCATGACATTTCGACACCAGTGCGTGTGTGTGGCCAAAAAGGCCACTGTGTCAAGACAAAAACGTGCTCATAACTATCAGTGAATTAAAAGTGGTCCAATCTGCTTCATCAACACTGGTCAAATGCGGTGCAGGGTCACAGCTAAGTGCTTTTACCAAACAGAATATATCGCCTGTTTACTATTTCCGTTATTCCACTGTACCACATTAGATTTTGTAATCAACCCTGAGAATCAATTTTTTGTCACTTTTCCTTTGTAATCGAACATCTAATTTTCAAACTGTATTAATCACTGCGATTTTTTTGGATTGAAGAAGAATTGAAAAATTATGTAGCCACCGGAAAATGACAAAGTAAAGTCAAACATAGTTCACAAAAGGTGAGTGAACACAGAGTATTTCTCGTGTTTGGAAATTCGGTCTGTCTTTCTGCTGCTGACGCTCTGCTTTTTTGGCTGCTGTAAAAGCAACGACATGATTCAAATAGGACATGTATATCACAGAGCGAGGGAAATAAGTATATAACAGCCTTATTCAAAGCAAATGTGTCTGTGGTGCTTGGAATTTGTAGCCGTTTATTGGCATTTATCGAGCTAAACCAGTTTGAGACACAAATGTAACATGGATCCATCCGTTCTCCTCATGTCTGCATAGGTTTCCTCTGCCACTAAAATATGAATACCCAAATTGCAAAACGTCCCATAGTCTGTAAAATGGGCCATATAAACAAACATTTCTTAATCAATCTTTAAATGTAGAGCACCTTTCCTACACAAGGCAACACAAAGCACCTCACAACCGACATCACATCAAACACAAATCATTAAAAATCTACACAAACATTATAAAAATACTATTAGAATAACACAGGACATTAAAAACAAACATTAAAGATTACAAGAAATATGAAAAATAATAAAATGACGCAAGTAATAAAAATTAAAATTAAAATAAAATCACACATGTACGACTGAGAGCTTACACAAACTAATCCACACATGGGAATAAAATCTTAAATAGCCACATTGCATAAAAAAGAGTAAAGATAAATTCAACTGTTTTTAACCTGGATTTTGAGTAGACCGAAATGTGTAACTTTTTTCTTTTTTAAATTCTGCTTTTCCAGGTCAATTTCAAGACTGCACAAGACTTTGGTGAGGTTCAAAGAAATGTCAACTACGCCTCGATGCTGCAAGACGTCTTCTCAGGTCCACTCACAAACACCGACCCAACCACTGCTGCATCATAGATGAAGTAGTAATATTTCATCTTCTGCTGCTGCTTTTGATTAAAGCTCTCTGAATAAGTTTAAGTAGTTTTATATCAAGTGTGACTGATGCAGCAATGAAAGTGATGATTTAAACTCATCATGTTTGAAGGGGAAGTTTTGACAACATGTTTTTTTGATGTGAGTGCTTTTATCTTATAGGGGTTTAGTGTGAATACCTCCATGACAAGTTTAAGACGCAAACCGTTAAAGCAGAACCATATTTTCAGCTCAGGGCAGCCTTGACTCACCCTGAATAATCAGTTATACTATATCCCTCAGCGCACATTTGATACAGGAAAAAAGTAGTTGAGGATGAATCGTATAAGTAATGTGGTGGAAATTATAATAAAACCAAAGCATCTGGAGTAAATGTATTTTCTTTATAAGTAAAAAGTGCATGAATTAGAAAGGATGAACTAAGTAATGCATTAGTTCCCTTCAGAGATACAGCAAGCTGCTTTCACTCTGGGGCTGATGGTCAGTGAGCAATCCAAATGAAAAATCTTAACAACCATTAGATATTTATTTTTTTCACAATTTCACATTTGTCATATGTGCACGGCCCGGAGCTCAGAACACACCTGACAGATTATCTAATCTTAGCAAAGATAAATTGTGGCAGTAAAAGTGGCGTGGGTGATTTTGATCATAGAAAACCCTTCCTTTTGAACTTCGTGCTGAATTATAGCCTTCTTCTTGAACTGGCTTACTCTGTTCTACCTTTTTGTGGTCATACCTGCTGGTCAAAGCAAAGTAGCGTGAGGCCTGGTGAGTGCACTGATGGGAGACCGCCGTAATACAAAGTGCAAACAGTTGTCGAGTCTTTAGGCAAAACACTTCACCCACTTTTTTGTGTGGGTTAGTGCCCAAGTGCCCATTAAGTATTTTCTTCGTCCAACCCGTCAAACTGTATTTTTCAAACTCTATATGTATCTTGTTTTTTTATGTTATGCTTTATAAAAAATATATGTTTTAAATTAATACTTACTTAGAGAAGAATAGGATCTGGTGTGTGTGAGTGATTGGCGATCAGTCTATGGTCTATCCCAGGGCACCAGCGGCAACGATAGCATCTTACTATTATGTGTGGATATTGTCACTCTCTACTTTGAAATGGGCCTTAAAAATAAAGATTTCTAACTGACTCTCGAAGTCTTAGATCTTTTTTATTAATTTAAAGTTACAATTACAAATTACAAAAAAACATACAAATCTTAGTAATAAGTACAACCAGAGCAAAATAAACAAGATTACCAGTGTGTTGCATTGTGTGTGGCATTACAGTTAGTCCATAACACTGGTTGGTCAGGTCGAGGCACCCTAGCATGTACAGTAACCCGAGCCTGCTTTAAAAGTTCTACAAGAGAATATGTCAAACTCAGGAATCAGCCCCAGCATACCCTCAGTGCCGCTCAGAGACATCTGATCAAGTTTTGTTCCGGAGCAGAAACGGAGAGTGACATCACTATGGGGCATTATCAAGTCCTTACTGTCTGCTTTCACACATACTGAATAGTTGGCCTCCCAGTCAGACACTAAACTAGTACAAAGGATGACGTGGATGCTGTGAGCTGTGGAGAGAGCTTCCTTAACACTGGCTTGGCTCTGGTCTCTTTTAAAATACAGCGGGAACGTGGAAAAGGAAAGAGGAGGAACAGGCTTCTATGACTATGAAAGTAGCACATAGAGTCCTGTGAAATGTTTAACACAGCCTTCTTTCATATGTTTGCATTAAAATCAGAAACAATATGTTGTTTTTGCTCTTGCTATGATGGTTCTATGACGTTACTACAAATACAGTCTATACCTTTTTGAGAACACACACATGTGGCTGATCCGATCATGTTCTGACTCCAACTGCTCAGGTTCACGCCAAACCAGCTAGTGTTCGCCAAAGAAACTGGCAACCCCATATGAAAGAATCATGCAAGATAAGATAGATGTGATGCTAATTCTGGTTCTGTTTGGAGAAGCTAAATATTAAATGTTGACATAAATAATGTGAACATCTTGTCCATGTGTTTTGTTTTTAGGAATAAGTCTGCATTCACATATTGATCAGAAACTGCCACATATGATTTGGGGACACTGGGTCAGATTGCAATTTAAAACATGTATACTGTCCTTGGGCCATTTTAGATAACTATTACAGCCTGTAGAATATGCTCCCAGGATGTTCTCAAGTTAGGACACTTTACGTAATTGAATCACAAATAGTCTATTGTTAGTGAATCAAATCAATTACTGTATTATCATTGCCAACTATTGTTCCACAGCAGCGTATTACAACAGTTGGACTTGATTTATGATTTATTTGAGCCAGCGTTCTAGTCATGGCCGTAAAAGATCAAACGACACCAATGAAGTGTTCTGTAGTATCCAGCTCAATGTAAGTATGTGTCACTGTTATCCACTCTCTCTGTCCGATGTTTGATCTCAATCTATGTATTTCCTTAACATATTTTTAGCACAGTTGAAAAAACAAGAACATGTTTTTAAAAAGATCAATCTAGTATAAATGTAGTCTGAAATGACTGGTCTTTTTTATAGCCAGACCTGTATCTTGTCAGGACATGGATTTAACAATCACATCTCAAGTCCCTTAATGATGCCATCTTGTTCACTGAATTCTTTCTCTTACTCATCGTGAGTGACTCTTTGTCTTCTCTGAAAACATTGTTTTCGTGTTGCAGAGGCCATTTTTCCTTGTTTCTCTTTTAACAATCGCTCTGCTCAGTGCGGCGCACTGTAAAAGCTGATCTACAGGAAGGTCATAAAAGTCTCTGGGGTTGAAGGCATGTGCTGTATGTTTGTCCACATGCACGCGAATGGGAGCTATGGGCCTAATTCAGGTCTGATGGAGTCATGACTAATCTATGAAGTCTAAACACATATCCAAGAACAAGAGGGAGAAGCCTCTGTTTACTGGCCTGCTGCCACTCTGCTCTCCTGACAGCACGTCCTAAAACTGGATGTTACAGACACACACTCATCACAGAGCACCTGCGCTCACATGTTGTTATGCTCGCCTCTTTTCCCCAGAGCTGCAGCTTGGCCATGCTCTGGGGATCCTCCTCCTGCAGTTTGTGTCCAGTCCAAAGACATGACACTGGTTAAGATCCCTTAGAAATGATAATATTCCACTGTCAGTATTAGTTAATGACTGACTATTGTCAATGACTACATTTTGCACAAGCAGGGTTTGAGAGATAAAACAAACTTCACTAAAACAAATTCAATTGGAGATTCATATTTCTTAAATTCCAATTTGGGGTGGAAAAAAACAATAACAATTATAAAGATATGATCATTTAAAAAAAGGTTTTATTTCTTTACTTATGCCTCATTTCAACAACAACCTGACTTTACAGCCACACCCCACTGTGTTGTAAGAGGTCTCCCATCACAGTACTAACAAGGCCTGCTAGACCCTCTTAGCTTCTGAGAACTGACTTTGACACACGGGTGACACCAGTATTTATGTGGAGTTAAAAATAAATGCAAGCTTTAATTAAACAAACTTAAACAATAATATGGCTATCATCTACATGTTTACAATATCTGTAGCTTCATGTTTCACAAACTGTGGTGCATGAACCACTGGTGGCTGTTATATTCAGTTGAATGTTATAGCCAAATTATTATTCCACTATTCATCTTTGCGTTCATCTAAAACATTTTTATTTATTTTTAAAAGGGAAATGGCCTCTTCAAATTAAAACCCTCTTTTCCCCAAATTTGAACTGAAAAAATATTGTTTGGTGCCTACGGGCTTTGGCACAGTTGAGGGGGTGGAGGAGGGGTGTGGACGCTCAGGACTGCCCCAGGTGCACATGCGGGAACACTTAACCAGCTTCTTCTTGTTCCCCATCGCTCCTTCTGAGAGCCAATTGGACTCCTTTGAATCACTTATTCACAAGATGGTAACGTGCGAATGCCATTAATATGCCACGAGCAGCGCTCCAACCCGGAGAGTTTCACTTTTATTTCAATACCAACATCTCATGAGAACAATGTGCACCGTCCAGGCCTGGTGCACTCATCAAACACACGTCTTTGGCAGCGGCCATAACATTGCTTTATCTGTTGTAGAGAGAAAGTTATTCTACTCCACCTGTAAATTACAACTATGGGACTATTTTGTTTGACTTTTGTAATCCCAATGGAGGACATGTTGGATGCTCCTGTTTTGTACAATACAGTTTTGACATTAATCTCTCCTAAATTACGGTCCACTTTTTTTCTTTTTTTATATTTCATGTGAAGCTGGTGCCATTGGTGTTATTATGGAAGTGGGCCTGGAGTTTTAGTTGTGAAAATGAATTCATCCCCAGAAACATCAACAGTTCAATTGCTGTATTAACACTTAAAACACTTATTTAAAAAAAAATCACAATAATTTTTATATAGCATACTATAGCACTAACAATATACTACTAAAAACATGCACTCCTCCTCATGTTGCCGGGGTTTCTCATGTTGCCTGTGTTTCCCTCAAAAGGAGATTCTGAACACTGTATCCCGATGAAATGAAGGTCAATAATAAAGTTAGTAAACAAATGAAAAGACTACTTGTTATTATCTCAAATTAAGGCCACTTTGATGATAAAACTTTCTTCATGTAAATAATATAAAGTAGCTATGAAAAGCAGGAAAGTCTTGTTTAGTTTGGACAAAAGCGACCATTTAAATCAATAGTAACACCTCTCAGAGCATAGATCACTATGTCCTACAAAGATTTAAATTGCGTGACATTTATGTTGATTCCATATGTGTCTCTTCCTCTCCTTTTGTGCAGCTTAGTGTTACTCCATAAATCATTAGCCACTGGCGACAAGTCGAGCGCCAAATCCAACAAAAACACTGAAAACTGTGGCTGTTAGTATTAGCAGCTGTTCGCTACATCCATGGGTGTCATCAATAACCCGGCTTTGCTTCCACTTGCATGTTATATATTTTAAATTTATTCCTAAGAAATG